TTCCCGCTGCCGGCATCCTCCAAGGCTTTGCTCCCCGTCTCCCTGGTCTGCTGGTGGGGGACTCCCCCCCAGAAGACCAGGGAGATGTGGAGCAGCTTTTCTCACCCCGGAGGACGCGGGCGGCGGGACCGCGGTGCATCTGGGCGTCCCGCCGCTCCCGTCCTCCGGGGCGAGAAAAGCTCCGTTCGTAACTGCGGATCTGACATAAGTCAGATCCGCGTAACTCGGGGACTGCCTGTATCTAATTTGAATGTCTTGCTACTGTTTGCATCAAGTTCAGTGCATAATACCCACTATTAACAACATGTTTTAGCTATTAATCATTTAGAATGAAGCTGCCCAACTCTGAGGATTGTCATATGAAAGACTTGTATCACAATAACAAACTGTGAGGATTCATACTAACTGAAAGGTAGACAGTGATTTGGGTGTGCAACGATAATTTCCATGCACCAGATCCAACCCCTGATTTTCTAGTTTTGAGAGTCTGGAGGCTTCAAGTCAAGAAAAGTACACTTGCATCGATAATGTATTTCTTTTTTCCTGACACAAAGAGGTGAAAAACAAGGAAGGCCAAAAGAAAATAAGCTTAGTGCCTGCCTACACAGCAAAATTCATGTCAGTGAAACAGTTAAAAATTGAAGTAAAATAAAGCAAAAGGGTTGGGGTTTTTTAAAATAACTGAAAGTGAGAGAGATCACAACCGATGCTAAACCTATTGGCCTCCTAATCTTCTACACAGATATTTATTGGTATGTAGTGTGTTAATTCTCTGAAGCGGAGCCCTGCCATAAAACGTAACTGTTAGGCTCCAGGGGGACTTTTAATCCTATCTATGGCAACAGGCTGGCTCCTACTTAGGCAGATGGGACAGGGCTGTAGGAGGAAAGCTGCATGCACCAGGGCTGACAGCCCGGGACATTTGACCCCGGTAACGAGAGAAAACAAAGCCGGGGGGGGGGGCAGTGACCCTGGCCCGGGAGAGGACGCGGAGACAGGACCCAAGGCAGCACAGCGTGTTTCCCACCAACTGACTGCAAAGAGCCCCTGCCCCAGCAGCAACAGGCTAGGAGCTCGCTAGGCGGCAACAGCGCAGAGAGCGGGCAATGGAGAGGGGGGCGAGGGCCCGTCGCGGGCACAGAAGGGGCCCGGCCTCGCTGTCCCGCCTCCAGAGCGCGGGCGCGGCCAGCAGCAGGCAGGGGCGCACGGGGGCG